ATTATGGGGATACTTTCGCTCCTGTAGCAAAAATAACCAACGTACGTGTACTTATTTCTATAGCAGCAAATCGGGGGTGGCCGCTAAGACAGTTTGATGTTAAAAATGCATTTCTTAATGGGACGTTGGAAGAAGAAGTATGCATGGATCCTCCTCCAGGCATAAATTGTGATGGCAAAGTATGCAAGCTAAGAAGGGCCTTATACGGATTGAAGCAATCCCCTCGAGCATGGTTTGGAAGGCTCTCAAGTTTCATGAAGAAGATCGGATACAAACAAAGTGATGTTGATCATACACTGTTCATCAAGCAAGTTTCTGAAAAGGTAACTGCTCTTATTGTGTATGTTGACGATATGATTGTTACAGGAAATGATACAATTGAAATGACTGCCCTGCAAGAAAACCTTGCAACTGAGTTTGAACTTAAAGACCTTGGGCACTTGAAATATTTCTTAGGCATTGAAGTTGCAAGATCAAGCTACGGAATCTCTCTTTGCCAGCGTAAGTATGTGTTAGACTTACTAGCAGAAACTAGTATGCTTAATTGTAAACATGTTGAAACTCCCATCGAAGTGAATCACAAGCTAGCCATACAACAAGATCAAACTCCAACCAATAAGGAGAGGTATCAAAGATTAGTTGGGAGATTAATATACTTATCGCATACACGTCCTGACATTGCATATGCAGTAAGTATTGTTAGTCAATTCATGCATGCACCGAGCGAAGACCACATGGAAGCTGTGTATCGGATCCTACGATACTTAAAATCTTCTCCAGGAAAAAGATTATTTTTTTCAAAAAATGGAGATCTAGAAGTTAAGGGATACACAGATGCAGATTGGGCTGGAAGTCAAACTGATCGAAAATCTACATCGGGATATTTTACATTTGTTGGGAGTAACCTGGTAACATGGCGAAGCAAAAAACAAAAGGTTGTAGCAAGATCAAGTGCATAGGCAGAGTTTCGCGAAATGGATCAAGGTATATGTGAGTTGCTATGGGTAAAACGTATCCTACACGATCTTGGTATCTGTCCGTCAAAATCAATGATGTTATTATGTGATAACAAAGCAGCCATAACAATTGCAAATAACCCTGTTCAGCATGATAGAACTAAACATGTGGAAGTTGATCGGCACTTCATCAAAGATCATCTTGACAAAGGTACAATTGCTCTTCCATTTGTCACATCAAAAGATCAACTAGCGGATGTCCTAACAAAGGCGGTATCTGGAAAAGAGTTTCAAAGCTCACTAAACAAGTTGGGAATGATTGACATATATTCACCAACTTGAGGGGGAGTGTTGGCATGAGCAATCTTAGGAAGAAATTATGCTGCCAACAAAATTTGACTGATTATGTAAATATTATGTTTACTTATTTATAATTGATTATATTATGTAAATATTGTATTTACTTATTTAATTGATTTACTTAGATTTAGGTCATAGTGTAGGAAGCTATGTACGTGTATATATATATAGGCTGAAATTAGCTAGATGAGAAATAGAAGAGTATTTTTCCTCCATTATCATTTATACATTGATTACCCCCTTAATTAGAAAACTCATTTTCTAATAAAATAAGAGTTTCATTCCATTATCCCCCCTTCTAATTGGTAATTTAATTTTTAAGTTTGGTTAGTGCTTTTAGATCAGATTTGTGTTTTTTTTTTTGTTCATATTAGTGCTTTTGATGTCTTTATATTAGAATGAATTGTCTTTATTTGTTGTTCTTGTATTTTTAAAACCTTTATTCACATTATAGGATCATACATAATAAAACAGTAATATTGATAATCATTCTAATTCCATCTTATTACCAAACATGCAAAATACATTCACCAAAACTAATTATCATTACCAAGTATTTAATTTCATTCAGATTCTGATTCCCATCGAACCAAAAACACCCTTAATTGTGTATGTATACATTAAGGAATTGTTTGGCGGGCTAGAATTGGCTGGCAAAGGTAAAAGCGGACATTTAATACCACGTTGTCCTCGGCCCCTACTTGAGGCTTTTTCTTCATTTCTTTGTTTTTTAAAATACCATTTTTACAGTAATTAATTAACAATTAAACAATTATAATAAGTAGTTTTATCAACTTTTTAATAAAAAATATTATTTATAAAAAGACTAAAATAACCTATATGAAATTCAAATCGAGAAATCCAAGCTTAACAAAATATGTAAAAGTATGGCTTTAGCTCATTAATTAAGATTACTCCAAAAATGTTGAAGTTAATCAAAACCGGTATTTTTTCACATGTTTTGTATCTTACACTTTTTATTTTTTGATTTCCTATTTTATTGTTTCTAGTATTAGAAAATAAATATTATATCTTGATTTTAAATTTTTTTTTTTTTTTAAAAAAAAACATTTTTCTCTAACAATCTTGATTTTATTATTGCAGCATGAAAACGCGGTGTTAAAGCTCAAAATCACGTGGGTGAATGAATGCAATTCCCAGGATATCCGTGTAGTTGCTGTTGCTTCACATTCGCTCCATGACTCTCTTCATTAATTTTCCCTCTACTTTTCAAACTTTGGGTTTTTAACATTCAAAAATCATTTTCTCCCCACCAAAAAATTGAATCTCCAATCCCAAGAGCTCGATAGGATATTTGGGAGGATGGAAATCACGGTCTCGTTGTCGATATTTGAACATTGGTCTCTTCTCTTAAACTGTCTACTGAACCAGTGAGAACCTCTGCCGAGTGTCGGCCTTGCGTAGATAATAAACTATTGCTATTTGGTTGATTGTTTGTAAATAATAATTTTTTTAAAAAAATTGTATTCGTTGGATAATAACATGTTGTGTTTGAACATAGTATTAACAAAGTTGACTACATATATAACTTGTTAAGGTCATAGGATTGAAAGTACAAATATGAACATGAATTTGTAACATGTTAGTGTGACACAAATCGAGACAATAATATTTTAAAATTTTAGTGAAAAAAATAAAAAATCAAGGGTGACCGACATAAGCTAGTTATTTTACGTCCATTGTCGCAATTTGCAAATATTCTAAAGAAGATTAATGGTATGATATTTTGGTTGATATAAACATGTAAAAGTTGACGGGTCGGAAACGTGAAGTTGGGTCATAAACTCCAACATGCAATGGTAGATCACAATCCAAACAATACATGTGGAAAGTGAGAGTTCGGATATAATTCATTCCCATTAGCAATGTTGAATCAAAATTAGACACTTTCTCACAATTGTTTGATGAAAAGGCTAGAGTATCTTATAAAAAATAAATAAAAAAATAAAATAAAAACAAATATCAATTTTGGTATCACGAGTATTAACAAAATGACAGTTTTGGTTCACATGTTTAATTCTTATTAATTTTCTTTCACGACTATTGTTTTAGTACTAATTTTCGTCCATAACTATTATTTTAGTGTCAAAATTCACCGGTCAACCATTCGTTTAAGACATGCTGAAATATGAAATTATTAAGGGTATTTTCGTCATTTTCAAATTAAGATATCAATTTGAGCATAAATAAAGGGATTTTAAGCTATAAGATCGATCCCAATTCACAATTCTCCTCCTCAAATTAAGGTAGGATGAGAATGAGAACTACGAATTGAGGTCGATATTAGGGCTTAAATCCTTTTATTCATTCTCAAATTGGAATTTTAAGTTGAAAATGACGAAAATACCTTTAAAATTTTAGATTTCGATATGTCTTAAAAGGAAGAGTGACCGACGTGATTAATTGTGGCACTAAAACAATAGTCGTAGATGAAAATTGATACTAAAGTAATGAAAATTTATAAGAATTAAACATCATACCATAAATTAAGACAAAATTTTGTAAAAGAAAAGAGAAAATTGTCAAATAGGCCCCTGAACTTTCTTCAAAAGGATAATTAGGTCATTGAACTTCAAAAATGTGCAATTAAACACTTAAACTTATCATTTTAGTGCATCCAAACCCAACAACTGGTAATTTACCTGAAATAGCCAGTCATCAAATTTCCGGCGACAATTCCAACAAAATTCTGGCAATCCTTTGAATTAAAAAAAATACGGCGAAAGTCATCGAATTCCGACCGTCCGGTCGTCTTCCACTGGAGAAGGCGACCAGACATTGGAGAAGACAACCAGATCTGATCGTCTTCTTCATTAGAAAAGGCGGTCGTCCGGTCGTCTTCTCCAGTGGAAGACAGTCAGAATCCGATGATCGTCGCCGATTTTTTTTATTTTTTTTAATTCAAAGGATCGTCGGAATTTCGTCAGAAATTTGATGACTTGCTATTTTAGGGCCCGTTTAGAAAGCAGGAAAATGACTTCTAGAAAATGAGTCATTTTTCTGAAAATATTTTCTTTTTCAGTGTTTGGTTGCATTTTGGAAAACTTGGTATGTTTAGTTTATTTTATGGAAAAAGAGTAAAGTGTATGTTTAAACATTTTTGTAGAAAATGACTTTCCCCAAATTTTGACAGAAGTCATTTTTTGCCAAAATAGCTTCATTTTCTTCGGTCAACAGAAAACATTTTCCGTTGACTAGATTTTCCTATTGCACCCAAACACTGAAAACTCGAAAAATATTTTTCAGAAGTCATTTTCTGAATTTTTAAACGGACCCATAGATAAATTACCAGTTGTTGAATTTAGATGCACTAAAATAATAAGTTTAAGGGTTTAATTGCACCTTTTTAAAATTTAAGAGACTAATTATCCTTTTGAAGAAAGTTCAATGATCTATTTGACCATTTTCTTAAAAGTAAATTGTGAGAGTAAAATATTCCCCTTTTTCAATCTCCATCCATATTTAACCGATTTGGAAGCGGGGTTGATGGACAAATTCCCATAAATTTACAAAAAAACACCACTATTGTTGTCCACATTGATAAAATGAAAATTAATTTATAACTAAAAAAAAAAAAAGAATGTGGTACTAAAGACATTACACTATGGGCCTGTAATTTTTTTTAATAATGTGCGTGTGGTAACTGTAATTATTCCTTGTGTACTAACAGTCACTATAAACAGCAGAATCTAAAGAAAATGAACATAAATATTTCAAAATTGAAGAACTCCCATCACCATTACTACTGCCACGCCTAACCAGTGCTAAATTTGATGTGGATGAGGAAGAACCTGTTCTTGAATTCAACCCAGTGAGTGAACTCAGTTCCGGTATCGACTCGGCCGACACAATCAAATTTATGTTCTTCAGTACGAACTCATTGCCCACGAGTTGGTTTAGGAGTCCCGACTCGTTGACCGAGTTCTTCTTCTTGTGTTGCATTGCCGCCCGGACGATCTCCGTTAGCACCGCGTTTGATAATCTCCGGACCCCTCTTGATCCGCCCATTACGATTGCCGGGCTGACGGGTTTCTGGTGGGTTTTCCGGCCGTGCGCCGGCGGGGTGAGGGTTGATAAGTGCACTGACTCGGGGGTCCGGCTCCTGAGTCGACTCAGTGGGTCGCCGAGAAGGAGAAGCTCTTTTGCGTCCACTAAGATTAAGTGCTTGAAATTTCTTCTGAGTCGGCCGAGTAGCATAGGGTAACAAGCCCATCTCCTTAAACTCATTGGGACGTGGTGGAGAAACCCGGCCAAGGAATTCTCCGGGTCAAGCTCGTCAACGTCGAAACTCACCACCGAGCCGTATGACAACCGAGTCGACTCAGAATCACCTTCCAATTCTTCTTCGCTGGAATTGCTTCTTCTTTTCCGTCCCCAGATTGGCTCCCCGCTTTCTCTCTCCTTCTTGCGCGAAATCTTGAACTGGGCCGAGTCGAAACTCGTGGTGGAGTTTCTATCTTCGCCGGCGCCGTGAACGAGTTTCAAGAACGACTCGCTCTCCTCCACAACCGCCCTGTCGAAAGCGGCCGACTTCGCCGGAAAAACGAGCAAAAGATCCGATTTTGAACTCAGCCCGGACCGGAACAAAAGCCGCAAGAACAGCTTCAGTTCATGCACAGTGAGTGACTCAACTGCATGAGCTACAACAAGGTCGTTCATCGCCCTGGTTCCTCTCCGGTACAGAGTGCCCATTCCCTGCAATGCGTGCTGGAAAGCCAAATTTTTCCATAAATCCTCGCCGGAGTTGTGCTTCGGCCAGAAAGACTTTCTGGACTTTTGCGGCAATGCAGTGGAAGAAGAAGAAGAAGCAGAGAGTTGCCTTCTGGGGTGGAAGTGGGAAGAAGCGGCGGTGGGTTCGAAGGTGGAAAGAGTAAAGAGGAGGAGAGTGACGAAGATGAGAAGGGCGCAGATTGAAATGGTGGATTGGGCGGTGGAGAGGAGGTGGGTGGAATTGGAGCGACGGAGCAGAGCATTAACGGCTCTCTTCCTCATAATGGGCGCGCCGCCGCCGCCGGGACTAGTAGCGGCGGCGGCGGTTTCATCTTCCGGGAAGAAAACAAATAGGAATCCCATTCCCCCCCTGCCTTTACTACCTTCACTACTACTAGTGCTGCTGCTATTCATCTTCACAGAATCACAGATCACTTTTCCCTCTCTCTCTCTCTCTCCAGCTAGCTTTACATATATAAATGACTCTCTCTCTCTCTCTCTCTTCTCTCTCTCTCTCTCTCTTGATTATGTAGTCATGTAGATAGCTAAGAATTTAATCTCCATTATTGGCTTTAATTTTCATCATAGAAATTAGAAAGTAGGACCTTTCTGAAAGGAAAGCTGAGGCACAGGTCAGGAAATCTAATATTTTAAAAGATATCATCTAATTTGTACGGAGTAGTTTATATTAAGTTTTTTAACTTATATATGTAAACACATACGAATTTAAATGCAAACTTTAATTTGTCCATAACTAATATTTTTCTATTATTAAAAGTGAAAACGACATTTTCTACTTCAGCTCTACATCAAATATACAATTATAAATTCAATCTATCTCTTATTATACTGTCCGAAGTTGCAATTTTTGTTATTACTTTCTTACCTTTGAACAAAAAAATTTCGGAGTAATAAAAACGCTTAAATTACAAATGAAAATATCCAAATTTTATTTCATTTTCTTTTCCTTATCCCTTTACCCTACCAGCCCAATTAAGAAGCAAAATATTATCTATATTTATTTTTTCATATAAAAAATTAAAGGTTTTGAACTCCGGATCTCTTTTAATTTAAGGAAGAAGAGTCCATAGTTATTCACACCAATCAAAATATTTATTAGTATTGAGATCTACTCGAGTGTATATATTTTAATTAGATCCGGGATTTTGGTTTGAAATCAATTAATTATTAAATACAGTGTTTATGTGAACAGTGTTGAGACAGAAGATAAAATTAATGTCTGCATGGGTTTAGCTCACTGGTTCAGTACATATTATTTGAGATAAGAAGATTATAAAATTATTGGAAATTTAACAAAAATCTTGACGGAAGGGGACGTGTGTGTGTGGAGCGTATACACGGGTTTTAATTTGTGAATTTAAGGGTAGATAGTGTTGCGCGCAGCGTCGGTGGATGCCCTGAGCTCAATTTCGATAATAATTCAGAATAGGAATAACAATTGTCTCCAAACTAGACATGCCAATTTATGATACCATTCGTTAACATCGCATTAAATAAAATCAGATACAAAAATAGCAGGGTAATATTTAGATACATAAATTTATTTTTAGTTGCAATTTATAAATGGAAGTTTGGATTGATTAAATTTTGTATAAGTTTATATTTATTTAAAAGTGTTAATTTATTAAAATTTTAAAATGTCAAACATTTTAATTGAGTCTGCAAGATAAGTCTAACAACTCGACAATTTAGGTTTATGACCAAAAAATTGTAACCCGCGTTCAATAAGCCCAATAGTCCAACATGGGATCGTTATGCCCTGGACCCGTGTCCACCATGTGCATGGTATGGTGGACACGCTCTATATTCATCATTTTTACACTGTAGATTCATAATTTCTATACTGTAGATTCATAATCTTTATACTGTAGATTCATAAAATTTATAATGTAGATTTATAATTTCTATACTACACATTCATAATTTCTATACCACATTCATAATTTCTGTACCGTAGATTCATAATTTTTATATTGTAGATTCATAATTTTTATACAGTAGATTCATAAAATTTATAATGTAGATTCATAATTTCTATACCACACATTCATAATTTTTGTACTGTAGATTCATAATTTGATAACTATGTGTTCATAATTTGATAACTATACAATTTAAAAATTATGAATCTACAGTAAAGAAATTATGAATCTATAGTACAGAAATTATGAATGTGCAATATAAAAATTATGAATGTACATTATAAATTTTATGAATCTACAGTTTCAAAATTATGAATCTACAATATAAAAATTATGAATCTACAGTATAAAAATTATGAATCTACAGTCTAGAAATTATGAATGTAAAGCGTGTCTACTATGCACATAGTGGACATGAGTCCACAACATAATTTGCTTCCAACATGGTTGGCGCTGATGGAACATGGACTATAGGTGGTCAAACGCGACACTAAAGGAAGGAATTAAATGACAACTACGCAGTTATGGAAGGACAATCAAAGTCAACCTAAATTATCCTTCTCCTTCATAAAATCACTTTCCAAATCTCATTAATTATCCTACATCACCATAAATACATAATTACAATGTAGATCCCAATTACCATATATTTTAGATTCTTTCTACCATAAAAGGCCTTAGTCAGTCACCAAGAAAGGCATCGAGATCCTCTCACCCCACATCTCTCTAGAGAACACCCTATTGTACATGTACTGACTCCATATAAAATATAGTCGATTTCGACTAGACACCGCCGCCCATAAAGGTCCATGCTTTTCATCTGTCGATCTCCACGTAAAAATCATTGTGTTCCTTTATTTTTCTTCTAAATTATTTATATTTTATTTATTCAATTGGTTGTGTTTGCTCGTAGTTTGATTACCCCAGCGGTCAATAAAATCAACAAGCACGAAACCATAGTGTTCGACTGATTTACATCCCTAATCACGAGTCATTAACAGGTTAACCCCATTAAAGTTTGTGTCTTAATGGGTCAACATATTTAATCTCTTAATAATATTGATTCCATGTTTGGTTGATTGGAAAAAATTATTAGAAATAATAAGTACGGAGTATAAATATTCAAATGTCCATATGTAATAAAATATATGAGGGTAATATAGAAATTTGTGTTACAACTTTTCTTTCAAAATGTATTAAAAATAAAATACAGTTAACTCATTTGGTTCACGAAAAATAATCGATGAGGAATGGAATCTAAATGACATGGAAAAAGAAATTTACAATGAAGATTGATTCCATTGTTTGGTTGGGTTTGAAAATGTAAGGGTGTGTTTGGTTCATGGGTTTTGTCTAAGGGAATCGGTATGAAAGTGATTGTTATTATTTGGTTGATAGGTTTTGAGAACACTACTATGGGTTTCTAATACCCCATCAATTGAAAAATCAATACCCAAATAAAATAAGGGTTTCATTCCTTTATTCATTCTCAAGCACTACTATTAGTAACAATTTCTATTCCACCCTATTACCAAATATGTTAAATACTTTCACCAAAATCCATTATCATTACCAAGTATTTGATACCCATTCCGATTCCGATTCCGATTCCCATGTGCGAACCAAACACACCCTAAGTGATAATTAGTATAAAAACTAACATGCCCTTACACAATAATATAATGACAATAACGGCATAAGTGTCAAATAGGCACATCTACTACTGCGAAATGCTCAATTCCCACCGTGAACTAAATTAAGTGTCAAATAGGCTCATCTACTAACTAAATTTGTTCAATTAACTTTGTTTACAGGTTATCTATTTATTAATTATTAAAAAATAAATAAATAAATAAAATAAAATAATTAAAAAATAATAATAATAATAATAATAGCCACCGGCCGTCCTCGCCGGACAGCCGGTGGCTATTATCTTTTTTTTTTTTAATTAATTATTTTATTTATTTATTATTTATTAATAATTGATAAGTAGGTAACCTGTTGGTAACCTGTAAAAAAAGTTAATTGAACAAATTTAGCGGGTAAATGGACCTATTTGACACTTAATTTAGTTCGTGGTGGGAATTGAGCACTTCGCAGTAATAGTAATTTATGTATTAAAAGTTACAACATTACAATTTATTGTTTGAATACTATTAACTCCATTACAATATAGTATCTATTCTATACTTTCTCTATCTATTATAATTCGAAGAGTCAAGACCCCACCACCGGGGTTCAATCCTGTGGCCTTCTCTCAAGGGAAGTCCCAGAAGTGACATTTGAGCACAAGGTGCATGGAAAAAATATTACAATTTATAAATTACAATGTTATGAATTTAAAAAGAAAAAATCAACATTTTGATCCCTCAATTGCTTTCTAATTGTCAATGTAGTCCATAGTTTTCAATTCAAACTGATTTGATACTCAAATTGTTTAAAATTTTGTCAATTAAACCCTTATGAGGAACCAAAATGGTGATTTTTTTTTTATTTTTTAAATTTGGTCAATTTGCTTATCGAAGAGTTTAATTGACAAAATCTTAAACAATTTGATTATCAAATTAATTGAAATTGAAAATTATGAACTACATTAACAATTGAGAAATAATTGAAGGACCAAAATAGTGATTTCTCCATTTAAATATTATAATTACATACTCCGTATTTTATTATAGGAATAAGGTTCAAATTGGCCACTGAACGTAACCTGAAAATGCAATTAGGCCACTGAACGAACAAAAAGTGCAATTAGGCCACTGAACACTCCAAAAACGTGCAATTAGGCCACTGAACTCTCCAAACGTATGCAATTTCACCGGATAGCAGGTTACTATCAATTTTAGCAGGTTACTTGCTTACGTGGCAGCTGAGTTGACATTTTTAATAATTTTTAAATAATTTTTAATAATTAATTTTAATAATAAATTTTATAAAAAAATAAATAAAAAATAAATAAAAAATAAAATAAAGTCGTTTTTATTTTTTTAAAATCTTTTAAATAAAAATTTATTATTAAAATTTATTAAAAATGATTTAAAATTTATTAAAAATGCCAACTCAGCTGCCACGTAAGCAGATAACCTGCTAAAATTGAGGGTAACCTCCTATCAGGTGAAATTACACATTTTTGGAGTGTTCAGTGGCCTAATTGCACTTTTTTTTTTCGTTCAGTGGCTTAATTGCATTTTCAGGTTACGTTCAGTGGCCAATTTGAACCTTATTCCTTTATTATAAGAGAGTCTACTAGGTTTTGATATTTATACAATTAATTATTATACTTGTGTAGTTAACAAAGTTATAGAAGGATAAAATAGTCCTTCTAGGTTAAACTTTGTTACCCATTGGTTGTGGGAAAAAAGATACCAAAGATAAGAGGAATATTTTCACACAAGAAAAAAAAAAATTTCTCAGAAGTAAACAGGCCATTAGACATTAGTGTTTAGTGGCAATCTTTGTAGGGACGAAGAA